AGGGAGCTAAACGGGGCAAGCAATATTTCTGGTTTAAATGTTATGACAGGAAGCGTTTGGAGGCAGTAAACACCGTCCCTACAAGGTTCCTTCATTTCCTCACCCCCCTCCCGTCCCCCCCTTCCGTGGTTAACAGCTGACATGGTTCTGTCGACATTGGTATAACTTTCCGCTCGTTGTTAAAATTGCATTTATAACTTGACTGAGTACATTAGGGATTAACATACTGATTCTTTAGGCTCATGGTGAAGTCACGGCACAAAGTTTCTGACCTATCACATACAAAGTCACATAGGCAGAAGTACGAGTTTAATTACATGGACGATCGGTTATATTACATAAGTTGAGCTGTGACCAAGTCTGATCATACTCCATGAACCGAGTCGAGACTGTATTATTTAGATTGGCACTGAATTTAATTAATTCTAAAATACCTGTTAACGAAAGAAACTTGAATTTTTAGTGTAAAATGGTTAGGTAAATGGAAATTAAAAACGTATGACAGAGCAAACGGCATGCAACAAAAAGGCTTCAAGAAATTTACTGCTAACTTTTAATAACATTATCATAAATTATGCATTTTTATTCATTTTTTAAATAATTATTCTCGCTATTTTAAAGAAGTTTGGCTGGGATGATCTGTTATGACCATAAACATCTTAGTGATCAACGAAGCCGGTGAGCGTGCTCTACTTTCAGGGTGCAAAGCAAGTTGGCGAGCCGCGAAAAAACGGGCAAGCAAATAGCAGCAACGCAGCAGGGAGCGGAAGCCGAAGTTAGAAGTTTCTGAGCCTGCCCTTTACTCTCGCGACTTCTTTCACGTGCCGCCCCACGTGACTTTGAGCCTATCTATCAGGCTCCTGCTGGCGTGATAAACCCTGGTGAAAGGGCAAAAAATGAAATGAGTCTTAATTCAAACTGTTGAAATTCCAAAGAAAATAAAAAAGGATGCTTTTCTGTTATTTCTTCTCTTTTGTTTCTCTTCACGTCGCCCTAGACTTAGGTCTGGGTTTTATCACGTGCAATTTCCCCTTGAAAAGTTTTCTTTTTCATGACGACAGCATTTGCGTGTGGTTTATTTGATCTCCATCTCTTTTTTCAAGGAAGTCTTGTCAAGGGCCACACGTATATCAATGGTATGTTACATAACTATTTACATGAGGAACGCGCGTGAGCCGGCTGTAGAAGGATTTGTCACGTGTTAAGACTACTTTTCTCTCGATTTCTCGGTATCCTATGTTTTCCATTGGTTGAAATTCAGGGAAAAATAATGCTGGCTTCAACACAGTAACAGTGCGGCGTTTTTAATTTTCTTTCTATAGATCTATTTTGATATAAACCTTACGCTGGATAACTGCTCCCTCCTGCATGGGTTATAATCTTAAGTTCTCGTCGGCTCCGCATGCTCAAAGCGAGACCAAACATGAAGCACCCGCATGAGACCCTCCACATGGTCCTTGCAGTCTGAAGCCAGTTGTGTTGTATTGGCTCGATAACTCAATACCACTACAGTCTGAGGAGCACCGAGCACTTTCTCGAACTTTTGCAGCCCGGAAGATATTCGTTTCTATCTTGGAACCTTGGGCTATCTTCCCGTCAGATAAACATATCACATGGGTAAGCGTAACATTTCAAGATTTAGAAATGCCACACAGGTGTTCTGCTACAAACATTGTCAAAGCTCCGAGAGCTATCTTTACCCTCTATTAAAGCCACAATTAATAGCGACTGGTATCCATTTTCTCCTTAACACTTCCTAATCAAACATACAGGTCATGAGAATTATGAATAAAATGGTAACCAAATATAAAACGTCTTGATGACAAACAAACTCCATCAAGCGGTAAAGATGAAACTAACGTCAAGAAAATTAATGTATGTTCAACATGTTGGAGTACTTTTATTTTTTATTATGATATTAAACTATGTTGCTCTCTGATCTTTAAAGTGTTAAATTATTCAATATTTATCATGCATAATACACAATATCTAAAGAATTATTTCTTAATAGCGTCTTATACACCACTCTGATACGCGTCGTAACTTTCTCTGTCTCTCAATCCAGTTGGTCGATATCTCATGTGTCACCCCCTGTCAGGGAATCCAAAGCAGTTTTGGACTCTGGATTCCACGCCGTGGATTCCTGATTCCAGGTACTGAATTCCGATTCTTTGTCAGTGGAACTTGGATTCCGGATTGCAATAGATAGTAGGATTCTGGATTCCTTAAGTTTAAGTTTAAGTTTAGCTTAAGTTTAATAATTCTTTTAACCAATGTACAAAATAAAAATATATATACATATATAAAAGTACAATAGGTAAAGGAAAGCAATAGGGGGAAACTGAATTCCCATATAAAAACTGCCCTCCAAAACGAAAAGATAAAACAATTAAGAATAGAAAACTAATACATAACTATTCATCATGTGATACTAAGAGAAAAAAAAACAACAAACAAACAAAAACAAACAAACAAAAAAACCCCAAAATTTAGTTGTTTTTTTTGTTTTTTTTTTCTCCCTTTCCCCTTCCCCTTTTCCTTAATAAACTACTTAGATATTAAATAAAAAAGAAAATCCTGATTCAGTAGGAAATAATAAACATATGACTATTTACAAAGATAATTAAGTAATAAAGTTTTAAAAGAGTTCAAGCTGGAAGCAGACATAACGAAGTTTGGTAAAGAGTTCCAGTCATTAACGTAACGATTAAAAAATGAAAATTTAAAATAGTTTGTCCTTGCTGCTCTAGGCCTGATTTTAAAGTCATGGTTTCTTCTAGTTCTTGTCGGGCCAGTCAGATCCACATATGTGGTATAATCAATATCAGAATAGCCATGAATTATCTCTCGATTCCAACGCCCAGGACTCAGGATTCCGGATCGCATAAGCAAAAATTCCCCTGATGCTGGATTACAGCATCAGGATTCCAGATTTCCTTGCATAGAGAAACAAGTGACGTCCACATATGCAACAGTCATTGTTTTTCTTCCCAAAGTGATATAACGATTACAAATTTAGTTCACTTCTTACATATGAGTCGACTGGTTACCAGTGGGATCCAACTTTGAAGGTAAACTGTCTCTCGAAGGTTGTCTCGGGGGATCTTCGAGTTTTTGCCATCGTTTGAGAATCGGAGAACCCTGGGATTTACGGAAGTGACTGACACGAAGTGACGAGGAACGTTTCAAACCACTCACGATAGAGGAAGAAGATCCTAGAGTGCCGCTTTTGAATCCCGGAAGAGACAAAAGGGGGAATTCCGAGGGAATGCTGTTTGAAAGTTTGGATACCTGACGGGGCTTGTGGGTCGGTTTCTGCGCAGCGTCTAGAAGCCAGAAGGTGTTCACACTTCCTTTTCCCTGGTAAAATAAGCAGAACTAATAATCAACGGAACACAAAATGGTACGGAGACATGAGCAGGAGTATCTAAACACGCCATTCGAACAATGATTGATAACCGCATGAAAGGAAGAGACACCGAGATCGTTTTAATGACAGAGTTGTGGAAAGCATTACCGTCGCTTCCTTCTAACTGCAGCTTTCGTATTTACTTTTACGCTGAGCTTTCAGTTCGTTTGAAGCTTTAAAGAGTGCAATAATGTGTAATTTCTCAGCTTACCTTAAGATAAACCTCTCCTCTGCTCTCAACAACAAATCCCCCTATGGTTTCTAGTGTTCTCTTCGTGACCTCGCTTATGTGGATTCGTAGAGCTATAAAGCAGAACGAAAGAAGAATTTGTTCATTACCTTGGCAATATCCTAAAATTTTTACCAACCTGAAATCTATCAGGTCATGTAGCTTCTGTCACTTTTTATCTTTTAGGTTCTTCAATTCCGCAATAACTTATCTTTCTGCGCTTTCTGAAAAATTGAGCTGAATGTATCACACAAAACGGGAACATTTGTCTTTCCTCGTCAAAAAGTTGGTGATAAAAAGTAGATCTTATTCACGAGTTGTCAACAACTGTCAAGGGGGATATCTACCACACCATCAGCACAAAGCTGAGGAGAAAGAAGAAAAAAAGACGAGGGAGTGAAAAGAGAGAAAAAAAATGCCACGATTATGGTACGAAGCAAAGAAAATGAAAACAGCGAGGGACGTAAAGTCGAAGATGAACCCGATGATTTGACGATTGTAAGGTAGGGTAAGAATGCAAACAGACGCGAGTAGGCGAAAAGAGCATAATTTTTATTTGTACTTAGACTTTCTAAAAGTCCTTCGTTTCTCATTTCCGGTTCCGGTAGTTGGCCCCAGCACTCTCTCGCTCGCTCGCTTTTGCCGCAGAAACATAAAAAACTAATGCTCTCGCTTCGCGCTCGTGAAAAAATTTGAGCTCGACTTGTAGGCAAGTCTAATTTGTACTCTACCTTCCCCGTTGGATTCCATTCTAGAAGCAGTGTTGACTGTATCCCCGAATAAACAGTAACGAGGCATTGTTATACCAACAACCCCAGCCACGACAGGGCCTGTAATGGATAACAAATAACTGATATTTGACT